AAATTATTATTTATTTATTTATTTATTTTTATGATACCAAGGATTGAACCTGGTACCATAAAGCATGACCCTGTGCTTGCCAGGTAAGTGCTTATTACAGTCTTAATAAATTGGACTTTGTCAAAATTAAGAATGTCTCAGCTGAGTGTGATGGCACACACTTGTAATCCCAGCATTGGGGAGGCTGAAGTAGAAGGACCGCTGCAAGTTCAAGAGCAGCCTGGGAAACATGGTGAATTCCACACCAACCTGAATTACATAGCAAGATCTTTTTTGTTTTGTTTTGCTTTGTTTTTTGGCGGAACTGGGGATTGAACTCAGGCCCTTGTACTTGCCAGGGAAGCGCTTATTCCACTGAGCCATCTCCCTGGCCCCTCATAGCAAGATCTTGTCTCAAAAAAAAAAAAAAGCTCAATTTGTTATTTGGTTCGGGGCTGTTTTTCGTACCAAGAATTGAACTCAGAGCCTTGCCTTGCCAGGCAGGTGCTGCACCACTGACCTATATCCCCTGCCCGATTTATCAGCTGTTAAGAAAACAAATACAAATTAAAACCATAAAGAAGTGCCTTACAATGAGGTATGATTAAAAAATAGTGGGGGTTTTTTGTGGAACTGGGAATTGAACTCAGGTCCTTGCGCTTGCCAGGGAAATACTTATTCTACTGAGCCATCTCTCCAGCCCCCCAAAATAAAGTTAATGTGTACATATATATAGATATATATATATATTTTTTTCCCCCAGTGCTGAGGATTGAACTCAGAACCCTGCACTTGCCAGGCAAGTGCTTATTCTACTGAATGATCTCTCCAGTCTCATGTTTAAATATTTTAAAAATATATTATAGTAAAAAACACATTCCATTAATCTGCCTCAAAGTACTCCCCTTCTCAAGAAAGGGAAGGAAAAGAGGAAAAACAAAAAATGAGAAAAAAGGAAAAGAGGGAAACAAAGCTTTTGTAAGTAAAGAGGAGAAGAGAGTTGAAGGAAGAGTAGGGGAGAAAAAAGAATCAAGGTATATCATGCAGAAGCCAGGGAGATGGCTCAGTGGAATAAGCACTTGCCTGGCAAGTGCAAGGGCCTGAGTTCAATTCCTGGTTCTGCCAAAAAAATAAATAAGTAAATAAAAGAGGTATATCATGCAGAAGTGCAAATTCCCTATGATGAATGTGACTGATTTTTGTTTTATCTTTTATTTATGTATTTATTTGGTACAGGGTCTTGCTATGTACCTCCTACTCATAGAGATCCTCCTGTCTCAGTCTTCCCAGCACTGGGATTACAGGCGTGCGCCACCATGCCCAGTTTTGGTGGCTGGTCAAGGCTGGCACTGCATGTGGTACCGTGGAACCAAGGATAGAACCTGTGTGTTTGTACTTGCCAGGCAAGTGATTAGACCACTGAGCTATCTCCCCAGCCCCAAATATGATCATTATGTATTCCCAAAATGGACCAGTAAGCTTAATTAATGTTACTTATTTATTTATTTATTTATTTATTTATTTATTTATTGGTGGAACCGGGGATTGAACTCAGGCCCTTGCGCTTGCCAGGGAAGCATTTACTCTACTGAGCCATCTCCCAGCCCAGAGAATGCTTGTCTTTCACAGTCATCTGATTTTGAGTCACGTGGTGCCCAATCTAATGAAAGACACAAAAGAGAACTGCTTCAGAAAGCAGCAAAATTGGGGTGGGGGAGATAGCTCCATAGAATAAGTGCTTGCCTGGTAAGAGCATGGGCCTGAGTTCAATCCTCGGTTCCGCCAAAAAAAGAAAAAGTCGCAAAATGATGACACAACCATATTCTAAGCATAGGGGAGCGCTTTTTAGCTCGTTTTCATTAAGAGGGAGTAATTTGAGGGGGACAATGGTAATGTGCCTTTTACTGTAATAACTTTTTGTTTTATTTTATTTTATTTGTGTTTAGTACAGGGTCTACAGGGTCTCACTACACAGATCAGACTCCTAGTGATCCTCCTGTTTTCAGCCTCCCATGAGCTGGGATTACAGGTATGTGCCACCACACAGTCTCAGTCACTGTCTCAGCGTGCCCTAGCAGCGGGGCTGGCACTGCATGCTGTGGATCAAACCTCGGCCACTGCGCTCTGCCTAAGCAGGCACTTTAGTCTGCTGAGCTATCTGGTCAGCCCTGTTTTATTTTTTAAATTTATTATTTTTTTGTGGAACCAGGGATTGAACTCAGGCCCTTGCGATTGCCAGGGAAGCGCTTATTCCAATGAGCCATCTCCCCAGCCCCTAAACCCTTGCACTTTCCAGGGAAGCACTTATTCCACTGAGCCATCTTCCCAGCCCCTAGTTTTTAAAATTGTTTAATCTTTATTTTATCTTATTTATTTAGTACAGGGAATCACTATTCTCCCAGGCTGGCACAGCATATGGTACCAGAGACCAAATCCAGGTCCTTGAGCTTACCAAGCAGGCACCTAGACTGCTGAGCTATCTCCCCAGCCCCTTGTTTTATTTTTTGAGACAGGGTCTTATTTTGTAGTACAGGCTGGCCTTGAACTCAGTATGTACCCCGGACTGGCCTTCAATTTGCAGTAATACTCCTGCTTCAGCCTCCCATATGCTTCCATTCCAGGCATGCACCACCATGCCCAGCTGTAATAATTTTTTAATTTGAAAAACAAAGACAGACAATCTAATTTGCTAGTGAGGACACAGAACATTTTGCATCACTGGTGGGGATACTTAATGGCACAGTACTTTGGAAGCCAGTTCGGCAGCTTTATTCACTGAATGAAAAGAAAACAGCACATCTGGTAAATGGAGGAACTAACTGTGGTAACTCCATCTAATGGAATTCTCTACAAGGGCAAACTACTAGCAGGCAGCTGCATGGCTTAATCCTGAAAGCATTATGGTAAGTGAAGGAAGCCAGAGACAGAAAGTCACATACAGCATGATGCAATATACACATCTGACCTTTGGAAAAAATGAAACTATACAGACAAAGAACACAGTGTGACAGAGCTGGAGGCAAAGGGTGAGAGGGACTGACTACGATGGGACAT